ACAGAATAGCTCAGGATAATGTAACAACAATATAAAAAATAAACAAAGCCAAACAAACTCAATTTGGCAAAAGTGTTTTTACTATATTAAAAGGTGCCTATCCTATAGTAAAAGATATTTATTTTATAGTAAAAAGGGTCTATTCTATAGTAAAAGATACCTATTCTATAAGAAAAAATGCTTATTTTCTAGTAAAAACTGTCTAATTTATTATTTTAATTGTTCTAAAGTATTTATCCACCATCTAGAAATACCTATCCAATATTAAAAGTGCTCTTCCTATAGAAAAAAATATTTTTTTGTTAATAAAAAGTGTTCTTTTTTAATAAATTACTATATTTCTATAATAATTTAATATTCCAGAAAAAGATATTTAAACTTCTCTATTTTCTCTAAAGCACAGAGACAGTTGGTTCTTGTTTTTTAATAGTTCAGAATAGCTGGTCTGTTTATTTTATTTTATTTTTTTTAATTTTAAAGGTGAGGTCATGCCTCTAACTTTATTAAAATTCAATTGAGTTTCTTTACAAAATACATTTAAACCTCATATCCAGAGGATATCTAAGACTAGAGACTCAGACACAATGTTATAATAACATAATTATTTGTGGCCTAAACCTACCAAAGTGGCCAAGGCTCATCTAGATTTGGAGATTAAGTAAGTTGTGTAAAGTAAATTGATATTTGATCCATTGTGGATACTATAATAATAACTTGGGGTAAGCTATAGAATGAAGTGAAGGTCAGGGTTGGTGAGATAAAGTAGATGAAGAAGATAATGAATAAGTAGAAACATTAGTTTGAGATCTAGAAATACAGTATAGAATCCAGATAGAGTTATAGATTTGCTTGTTAAGGTGTAATAAAAATTTAACAGTAAGTGAAATAGCAGTTTTGTTGGATGATATAGTATTAGCAAGAGCTAGTATAATTTCAGAAGGGATAAGACCAAAGAGTGTTGATAGAAGAGATGGTAAGTTTGATGAGTTATGAATTTGCATATACTGAAGATTTCTGATAAGCTGATGTATATCAGTAATAGATTGGGTAGAAAAATCAAGGCTAGATATATTGATCATTGACTAAAGTAAACTATTGATAAGGTCTTGAAGAAGCTGGAAGGTTGGACACATAATCCAGTGAAGCATAGTACTGGTTTGATCACATTGGTAACATATAGGTGGATATTTAGAGTTTTGTTTGTATAGAATATGAGGAGTAGGCAAGTCATCAAGTAAGTTTTTAATACAAAAAGACTTTAAAATAGATAACTGAAAGCTATATTTATAATTAGAGATCTTTTGATTGTTGTTGATATATAGCCAGGTAGCATGCTAATGAATCTGGTTAGAAATCTGAGACCATTGTTGAAACCGGTTTTGAGATGATCAAAGTGCATAGATATAGGTATGACAAATTGTTTAAATAAATTATCAAATTAGTAACTCGACTAGGGAGTCCACAAAGAAAAGAGTATAGTTTGGATGGATACGTATCATTTCACCAACAATCACTTCACTGACATCTTAGTTTACCAACAATTAATTCACTAACAAGCTTATTTCATCAACAATTAATTCACTGACAAGTTCATTTCACCAACAAATTTTTTATAAATTACACTAACCTTAACTCTAATTCTAGCCTGACCTTAATGTCAATGACCAGAATTACTTTGTCTGTGAAATGAGCTGTCGGTGAATTAATTATCGATAAAATGAACTTGTTGGTAAATTAATTATCAGTGAACTAAGATGTTAATGAAGTGATTGTCGGTGAAATGAGCACTACCTGTTTGGATTATATATATTATAAGATTTGAATATTAAATAAAGTGCGATAATATGATATTGAGCTAGTTGATCAGCTTAGTTGTTAAGTTTATCATCTTGATGAGTATTGACCTTATGAAAGACAACTTGCAAGTTGTATGAGTTAATAAAATTAATTAAAGTGTACTATAGTAAGTGATATGGTATTTGTGTAAATAATAGAGCAAGAGAAGATTAATTAGTGTTGTTATATTTAGATATCATAGCTGTGAGTTCATATATATATGAACTGTATAGTTTCTAGATGCTGTAATAAGTGCAGATAGAATAGCAGTGAGTTCACTTTGAAAGAGCATAGTCAAAATTTAATTTGTGCTTAAAAGGAATACACAATATTATTATTTTGAATTTGTATCTAACCAATCCCCATAGAGCATTGATTTGTTCCAAGTTCAATAACTAAACCATCCATATAGAAGAAAAGTTCTGAGTAGTTATGGTTATAATAAGCAATAGATTAAAGAGTATCAGTTGAAGTATTAGCTTCAAAGATGTCTAGGATTTGTATTATATTAATAGAAATATTGAGAGTAAATGAAATTTGAGAGGGTGCCGAAAGGCAATAGAGTATATTAAGTCAAGATAATTAGCATTTAGATTAACAGATTTGGTGATAGAGTTAACTCTACCAAAGAACTTAGTGGCCAAGTTAATTGGGATAAGAGTAGTATATTTGTTAGCAATAAGATGTGAATTTAGAGGGCAGCCCAGATATTGCTAAGTAGTAATTAGTGGTATTGAATATAATTGAGTGAATTGGGACATTGCTAGTGTGTATAAGGATATGTCCAGAGAAAGTGAGCTGTCTGCATACTTTACCAATAATAATTTGGTCATTAAGTATTGTAATGAACCAAGATTTAAAGCGTGATAAGAAATGTCCAGTAGTATAGCAGTAGTAGTTTGTATCAGAGAGCTATATGTGATCATATAATATTCAAGAGCGATAGTGACTAATGATCTTGTCTTCAAGAGTAGTAAATCATAGTGGTTGTCTTCCTTTAGAAATTTTGTGTATTCTAGATAAAATATATTACCAGCTAAGGAGACAAGAGTTGTCAAATGATGTAAGTTGATCTAAGTATAGAATGTAGTAATAACAAAGCTGTTTTTTGAATTTTAGATATTGAATATCTGAAAATAATATAGACTCTAATGATAAAGAGTTAGTAAAAATAGTATATGAGATTTGTTGTAAAATATTAGAAGTAATAGAAAGTTCAAGATGTTTAAATAGTTGAATAATTTTGAAATTTGTGGTATATTTGTTAGGTCTATCAATTATAGGGTTTGGGTACAATAGTATATTAGTAGAAGACCAAAGGTTGTTTTAAAATTGTTGAAGTCAGATATAGAAGTAAATGCCCAGAAGATCAATATTATTAAGTCATTTAATGTAATTTGATATATGATGTTGAAGTTGAATGTTCTAAATATTATGGATATTATAAAGTTGTGGGTGTAGAAGAATAGTAGTAGGGATTATACATGTTGTAGAAAGTATTTTGGCATAGTTTCTACCTGCATTTTGGCATTTGGTATTTCTTAAAGCCAAAATTAATACCAAAACTAACAGGCGATACCTCAAGCCAAAATTAATACCATAAGTGTCAAAAAGTGCTAAAAGTCTAAACTTTAGCCAGAATTAATAATTTATTTACTAAATTTGTATAAAAATATGTTATTCATTAAAAAAAAAATATTATTCATTATATCAATTAAGTAAAAAGTATATCATTTATTATATCAATAAATAAATTTACAATATTTATTAAATTAAAAAAGTCAACTTATTAAAAATTAAAATACTTTAACTCAAACTATGAATTCTGCTTCTTCATCGAGTTTTATTGATTCTTCGCAGAGAAAAAAATTCAACTGGTAGACCTCCAAAAGAAGTGTGGAATTATATTGTAAAGGGCCGTAAAGATCGTGGCAGCAACTATTGAATTAGATGAATTACGCAAAAAAATATTAGATGCAACAGTATCAATGAGATTAAAAGATGAAGACGATGATATTGCTACAGTAGATGAAATCGAAGAGCTTAATATGTTAGAAGAAAATGAAAGTAACAATATTCCAATCGAGAGTGAATCATTAATAATTGGTAATACGATGAACTTAGATTCGCCTAATTTCATCGTACAACCTATGGCACTTGATAGTATTGTTATTTCTGAAGTTGTCGAAGACAATATTAAAGAGAACCATGACAATAGAGAATTTGAGGTTGATGCTTTGGTAGATAGCTTTGATATTTGAGCATTTATTCATAAATATGTGAATAATATAGTTGTTATAAAATAGTGTTTAATTTGTTAAAAGTATATATATTTATATACATAGATGTACACATAACTATAGAATTTTAGCTAACAATTACAAGATTCATAATATTTAAATTGCAGCTTTTAATTTAAATTATGGTATTATATTAAGTTTTTGTTTCGGCTTTAAGTTGTAACAGTTGCGGCTTTATTTCTACTAAAAATCGGCAATAAAATATTTTCGGCAAGCCGCAATTAGTTTCTACTATGTATAGTTTCTAAGTATTTAAATTCGGCTTCTAATTTAGATTATGACATTAATTATGGTTTTAGGTTTTGGCTTTGTGTTATGGCATGAATTATGGCTTGCGGCTCTGTTTCTACCCAAAAATCGATGTCGAAATATTTTCGGCGGAGCCGTAACGAGTTTCTACGGCATGTATATACAAAGCTGTATCCAATAAGTCAAAGTAATTGATCAAAAACAATTATCGTATAATTAAGCAGCTTGTAATATAGTTACGTTGAAATTCTGTTAAATAAAAAGCATAAACAAGGTATTGCCATAATGCTTTATTACTGAGATATCTTACGCTGTAAAAATAAGATTGAAAAGGGACATAATGAAAATTGGGAAACGACTCAATGAATGAGCCAAGAAAATATGCAGCTGGATAGGAATTAGTTCTCCAAAGATCCAGATCAGAATGATTTTTATACGCTCATTATCTTGTCATTTTTACTAGACGCAAAGCAAATAGTGAAAAATTGATCTTAAGTAAAAATACAAAACTCATTACAGCAAGTATAGACGAATTTATTAGCCTAATCGTTAAAGCTTATGAGTTCTCGTAATAATTAAGATAGTATAATTGTTCCGCGTCGTTACGGAATTTAGGTCGATCCGGAATTGGCACGTGTCATTTGTGAATCGTGAAATGAAGTAGGTATCCATTTACCGATTAAAAAAAAAAAATGAATGAAATAAAATCAACATTAATTAAATAAAATAAATTTAAGAAATAAAAAGCGAATGCACTCTTAACGTTAATTGCTAGCTAAATTTTCATACATTAAACGAAAATTAATTAAAATAAAATA